TAAAATTTTAATTATTTGAGATGCTAATCCTCTCTCTTTAAAATTTTAAATTGCAAAAAAGGGAGAATGAAGTACATAACTTAGAAATGAAGAAAAACAAATTAATCTCATCGGATATAATTATGACACTAATGAACTCTTCTTAAAACATTTTAATGAGATCAGTGGTTATATATATATATATATATTGTATCATGATCATAAAATTATTTTGTATTTTATAAGAAATGAAAGAATCTCATAAAATATTATTTTATTGAATTTTGAATCATTAAGGCATGAGATAATTGTAAATCTCAATAATAAATGACTCAATTTAATTGCTACTCTACAAGATCACAATATCAAGTCTTCTTTTCATTCTAAAAGGGATATATTTATTTATTGTGTTAAATATTACAGAAGTATAGTTGTGAGAATAAGGTAGTTGATGAGTCAATATTACAAGCATTTTTATAATTTTAAAAAATGACATGATGTTATTGTTTTAACTGTATATTTGACTAAATGAATTAATAAATAGGATAAATGTTTTATTATAATGAGCTTAAATAATTTTGCCCAAGAAGCCTTGAGGTACATGAGCTTAATATAAATAGCTTCCCGTAAGGATGACTGTCATGTCTTGGTTATCTAATTATTTAACTTAATGTAATATGTATTTAACTTCGATTTATTACTTAAAACATATTTATATTTATATATATATTTATATAATTTGTGAGAAGGTAGTTGATGAGTCAATATTACAAATTATTTAATGATTTTCAATATTGAAATGATGTTTAAGTCTTAACTATATGTTTGACTAAGTGAATTAAAAAAAGAAAAATTCTTATTATAAATTAGCTTAAATAGCTTCCATCGTAGGTACCTGATAAACTAGAGAATAATACCAACAAAAAAAAAATGTGGCAATTCCACTAAGGAATGACAAATATGTCCAGGGCATCTAATCATTAATTTAATGTGATAGATATTTTTATTCTTTGTTTAAAATATTATTCCTTTACCAGAAGACATATGATTTAAGCGTAAAGTGCCAAAATAATTCCCAACAATTTTAAAATTGAGCACTAATTCTCCTCCATATGGACTACAATGATCCCATATTAACAGTCGAAAACTATATATTGCGGAGCTATACTCATTTTATTAATGACAAATACGATCATATTATAATGGCATCGTTTGCTACTGAGAATATTCCAAAGATTAAGACGTTTTTGACCTAAATAAGCATTATTGGACGCTAATTATTTTAACAATTTATCATGTGTCATCCAGGTTGGTAATCTAACAGTCCGAAGGCTCTGCAAGAGCAAAATAATCACAGCAGTAAATGGTGAATATCCCGGCCCGACTATCAATGCTCGTGAGGGTGACACTGTCGTCATCTATGTCATCAATCATTCTCCTTACAATATTACCATTCATTGGTAAGTCTTCCTTTAATAATAGAATCAACCAAGGAATTCGGTGGTATATATGTAAAAGCTTAATAATTTTAATGATAACAGGCATGGTATATTCCAGCGTCTGACACCATGGGCTGATGGTCCGAACTTCATAACCCAATGTCCGATTCAGCCTGGACATAGCTACACATATAAATTCAACATCATCGGACAAGAAGGCACGCTTTGGTGGCACGCGCACGTCTCCGTTCTCCGCACCACTGTGTACGGAGCACTCATCATTCAGCCCCGAGCCGGCCCTCTCGGCTATCCCTTCCCCATACCTTACAAGGAAGCCGTCATCCTCCTCGGCGAGTGGTGGGACGCCGATGTGGTCAACCTTGAGAATTTGGCCCTTGCATCCGGCGGTGCGTTTAACAACTCCGATGCGTTGACCATCAATGGCCGCCCCGGTGATCTCTATCCCTGCTCCAAAAAACGTATGTATTCAGCTTTTTTTAAATGTTTTAGTAATTAATGCAATAATATGAGATTCTTTGTTTAAATGTTTTGTAATTAGTGACTATAGTTTAAAAGTCAATTTCAAAAGCTTTAGAATCTGTTTGAGAATGTTTTGTTATTACATTTTTTTTTTTCAATTTCATCTATTAAATTGGAAAAATTATTACTTCCGGACTCCGGGCGTAGAGATACGTCTGGAGTCCAATGAATCACCTCCATCTAGAGCTGACAGAAAAAAAAAAAACTCATTTTCTAGTGATTCGGCCCGGTAACACAAGTGAATATTCCTGTCGTGTTATGTCGCGTTATTAAGATGTTATTGTAGTGATATTGATATGTTATTTTGTTATTATAACACAGGAAATATTCTCATAACACAATAATACATGAATAACATCACAATAACACCTGAATAATGCGGAATAACATAAGAGGAACATTCTCTTATGCTAAAACAAATTTTTTTTATTTTTTTTGTCACCTCCACGTGGTCTGATTTCATTGGACTCCGGACGTATCTCTACGTCTGGAGTAATATTTATTCATTAAATTGTGGTAGTTATAAAAAGTTTGTTATATATATATAACATAACCTACCTTCGTTATGCCAAACCAGCTCTTCTTCTTCCTTGACGCTTAGCTAGGGCGCAATCACTAGTAGGGAAAACTCTTTCACGCGATAATTGAATCGCACACCCGAGAGCTCCTCTGCGATATCTTCCTCTCTTCTCTTCCTTGTACATCGGCCTCGTCTCCTCTAACCACACGGAAACTCCTCCCTCTCGTCTTCCTTCACCACAGACAAGCAGCACGGCAGGAAAGGTAAGTCGTTCGATAATGTATAGTGTGAAATTTCACCTCCTTGGCTTCCCAACACTTCTAGCTTCTTCTCCCCCCTCATTCATTTACGTGACCCCTCCTTTCATCTTCTTTTATTCGATTGGCTGACCGTTCATTCCATTTTCCTCGATCCTTCGACTACTGTCCCCATTTGAAACGGAACTATTACATTTCTTCCTTCCTTTTCGCATAAACAGGGCTTCAACGGTACACGAAAGACTCTCCTCCTTCACACTGCAAGGCTAGGATTCGGCAGCCTCTCGCACCTCTTCTTCCTTCATGCAAGGAACTCTACACAAAGACTTCCTCTAAGCCAGAGCCCTTGGCATTGCCCTCTACAAATGTCGTCGAACTCCTACCTCCTCCTCCTCCTCCTCCCCCCCCCCCCCCCCTCCCCCACCCCCCCCGCCACCCCCTTCGACACCACCACCCCCCTCGCCATCCTCTCCTACACCAATTCCCCCACCACCACCACCCCTCCCCTCATGCCCTCCCTCCCCTCCTTCAACGACACCCCCACCGCCCACCACTTCTACTCCAACCTCACCGCTCTCCTCCTCCCTCAAACCCAATCCCTCCCCCTCTCCATCTCCGACCGCATGTTCATCACCTTCGGCCTCAGCCTCACTCCTTGTTCCTCCGACCAGCCCCAATGCCAAGGCTTCGCCTTGTCCGCCAACATGAACAACGTCTCCTTCCGTTTCCCCACCAACATTTCCCTGCTCGAAGCCCATTTTAATGGAGTCGAGGGAGTTTACACGAGGGACTTCCCTGATCGCCCGCCTCTGGTTTTTGATTACACGAACCCGAACGTGAACGCGGTCGGGACATCGCTTCAGCTGTCGGAGAAGGGGACGAAGGTGAAGAGGTTGAGGTTTAATTCGACGGTGGAGATTGTGTTGCAGAATACGGCGGTGCTTGCCAGCGATAGCCATCCCATACATTTGCACGGGTTTAATTTCTACGTGTTGGCGCAGGGGTTTGGGAATTATAATCATACGGAGGCGGTGGAGAAGTTTAATTTGTGGAATCCGCAGGTGAGGAATACCATTGCTGTGCCTGTGGGAGGTTGGGCTGTTATTCGGTTCTGGGCTGATAATCCTGGTAAGTTATGGCGATGTAAATTTATTTTGAAAAATAATATTTTATTTTAAAGTTTTTGATATATATATATCTATATATATATAAGTTTAATATTTGTACTTTTTTTATGTATTGACAACATAAATTAAATAAAATAAAATTATCAACACAAATTAAAAAAATTATTAGTCAATTTTAGCAGCTAATTGACACGTGCAGGGATTTGGTTCATGCACTGCCACTTGGACGTTCACCTGCCGCTTGGCCTGGGGATGGCATTCGAGGTGGAGAACGGGCCCACGCCGTCGTCGACGTTGCCGCCTCCGCCGCCGGATTTGCCTCTCTGTTAAGGGGCCTTCATCGAGAAAAAGAAGAAGAGGGCGCTTGCGAAGAAGAGTATGGATTGATTGGATTAGTTTTATTTATTGTGGATATATAATATTCGTTTAAGATTGGATTGTTGAGTGCAATAATTGTTTTTTTTTTTTTTGTTCTTTTTCCTTTTTTTTGGGGAATTTTTTGCTTAAATTTGTAACGCTTAATCTATATTTTTATACCTACACGCCATATGTGTAAGAAAAAAAGATTATATTTGATTTTGTGCTATTCAAAATGTTTTCTCTAGGTTGAGGGTCAAGCAATCTTGATCACTTGGGTTAAATTTTACCTTGATTGAGTTATGAACAGGCCTGCAAATTGTTGACTATACCCTTCAAATACCTCAGAATACTATTCAGCCTGCCGATGCTACATTCCTGGA